TTATGGTTCCCTTCAGGTACTGGAAGTAACAGCAATTAGGCCACCCCAAAGACTTCTCCAGGCTAAATTATACCAGGTCAAATTATCACCTCTCATAGGAGAGGTGCTCCATCCCTCTAATCATGCTTGTGGATCATGCTTGTGGCCTCTCCTGGACTTGCTCCAGCAGTTCCATGTTCTCCCTTTGCTAGTGACCCCACAGCTGGATGCAGGGTTCCAGGATCTCAGCAGAGCAGAGCAGAGGGGCAGAATATCCTCCCTGCCCTGCTGCCCACACTGCTCTGGATGCAGCCCAGGACAATTTGGCTCTCTGGGCTGGGAGTGCCCATGGCTGGGTCATGTCCAGCCTCTCACCCACAGCACCCCCAAGGCCTTCTGGGCAGGGCTGCTCTGGGGCTGTTCATGCCCAGCCTGTGCTGATACCAGGGATTACCTCAACCAAGATGCAGCACAAGCACTTCGTCTAATAAATCTCATGGAGTTCCCACAGGCCACATGTTCCCACCTTGTCCAGGTCCCTCTGGATGACATCTCATCCTTCAGGTGTGTCAACAGCACCACTCACCTGCAAATCTGCTCAGGGTGCACTCGAAACCTTTGTCTATGTCTGTGATGAAGATACTAAATAACAGTGGTCCCACTGAGGGCACCACTTGTCAGTGATGTCCATGGGGACTCTGAGTCCCTGACCACGACCCTCTGGATGTGGTCATCCAATCAATTTCTTATCCATCTAACAGTCCACTTCTCAAATCCCTCTCTCTAATTTAGAGAGTAGGATGTTGTGAGGGAAAATGTCAAAGGATTTAGAGAAGTCCAGGACATCCACAGCCCTTCCCTTGTCCACTGATGCAGTCAGTCCTCTAGAGAAGGCACTGGATTGGTCAGGCAGGACTTGACCCTGGTAAAGTTGTGCTGGTGTCACAAATCACCACCCTGTCCTCCACGTGCCTTAGCACAGCTTCTAGGAGGACTTGTTCCATGATCTTCCCAGGCACAGAAGTAACCCAGATAGGTCAGTAGTACCCAGGGTACTCCTTTCTACCCTTTTTTAAGATGGGCACAATGTTTCTTCTTTTCCAGTCACAAAGATCTTCTCACCTGACTGCTATAACATTTCAAATATCATGGAGAGTGGCTTGGTAACTACATCAGCTATTTAGTTGAGGACTCTGGGATGCAGCCCATTGGGTCCCATAGACTTATCTATCTAGGGTTCCTTAGGTAGTCACAGACCCGATCTTTGCTTACAATGGACTTTGCTATTCCAGTCCCCATCTATCTGTCCATCCTCTCAAGAGGTGTGCAAAGAGAGAAATGAAGATTGTGGCAAAAATTTGTTGAATACCTCAGCTTTCTTTTCATTTGTTGTTACCAGTTTATTTTCAGCATTATGAGGCGGGGCACACCTTCTTTGACTTTCCATTTCTGGTTAGCTCTTCAGTTCATTTAGAATAGCCTGGAGGTTTTCAGAGCTTCTTCCAGTGGTGTGCAGCTCCAAAAGACAGTACACATGCCAAGACCATCTGGATCACATCACTGCTCAGCAGAGTTCTTGTCTTGCCTCCAAGACACTCCCATTTTAAGGCAAGTGGTCAAAGCCCTTCACTTTGTAGTTGCTGAGTCAACTCTTTTCCAGTCTCTGCATCACTTAGATGATCTCAACTGATCAGACAATAATGAAGAATCTGTACTCATTTTTTTTATTTTGCTGAAATTCATTAAAATATTGCAGAGATTAGTGCAAATACAGTTGAGTGGTTTTCTACTTGAGTAGAAAAGTGTAATATTGCTTTTTGTTCTCCAGGAGTAGCAGAACAACGTACATGAAAATCATGACAAACCATTGTGTGAAGTGGACACTGTACATAAATATTGCCATATAGTAATTTTTCCCTTCAAAATTTTTGAACAGAAATTGTTCCCAAATAATGATGTGAATTAAAGTGCAGCCATCTATGGTGGTGTTAGGCACTGTGCTAAGAATCAAGTCTTTTATAAACACAGACAGTAGAACACTCTTTAAAAAAATAGCTGTGCAGTGCCAAATGATTGTGGTAGAGCTTTTTCTTTCTGCTAGCCTTTCATTTGTTGGTTTGGTTTTCGGTTTTTTTTCTATGTACCATACTGAAAGCTACATACATTGGAACTACTTGTAATCTGTAAACTGAAAAGGGAACACTTGCTGTCACTTCCTTTCTTCTAAAAGCATATACAAAATAACATGCAAATTCTAAAAGCAGCTGGTGTTAAAATGTTCTCTTCCTCATATTAAGGCCTAATGAGACATAAAAAGAACCTTTGACATTTCAAGATGCCTCTTATTTAGAGAAGTTAATATGTTTTAGGACTTCGTCTGGGTGGGGAAGCTTGATCATGTGTATGTGTCTAAAAAAAAAAAAAAAAAAAAAAAGATTAGTAGATCACTCCTGGATCTAATTACAGGGCGTTATCTTAGAAGTAACAGAGAAGTCAGAAACAGTGTTGTAAGGCTCTCAAAGCTGCACAGCTGATAATTATTCTTTTATTCTTAGCTTAGTGGCACCAGAGTGTTATACTTGAAAAGCTGTTAACCTCAACATTTTCCACCACATTGTATAACAACAAAAGTGTGGGCCAAATTTAGAGCTTTGGTACGGTTCAGAAAAAAGCTTTCCTACGGTTGTTCTGCCCTTCAGAACTGCAGGTGTGCTTGTTTGATGGGTACTTTGCCATCATTTAGAAAACCTTTTATTTCCATTTAAGATTGGTCTGACAGCTCTGAGTTCTAAGAATTGTCAGGAGGTGCCAAGTCCAGCAAGTCTTAAGCCTAGCGTTGGCCATCAGAATTTTACTTAGCCTGAGTGGTCAGTCGGGTCCCCACAGCAGTCACAGACTCTTTGAAGTGTAGCAGTCTGAAGTGGGAGATTGTGAGAAGCATCCTGAGGGTGAGGTACTTGTGAGTGATTGATTCTGCTTTCTAATGTGCTTTGAGATGTGCTGGGAAGGTGAATAGTAGATAAAGATTCCTGAATGTAAGGTGCCATTGATAATGTATATATTTTTGCTAAATCTATAACAAACTGAGCATTTTATTAGTTTTACCTGAATATTGTATCTCTTGAGTTTATTTTGTTGTTTTCATACTTCTTGGAAAAAAACTTTATCTACATACTCTGTTAAATATTAGAAGGGATGTTAAGAAAAAAGATCTTGTTAACAAAGTCATGGTTCCCAGTATCTGATTTTCAAGAACTGCTGTTGGGCAGGCTTCAGGCTAGCAGGAAAATAACATCATACAAATTTGTTTTACTCTGTTCAAGAACTAGTGATCTATGATGTGTGTTGTATTATAGACCATCATGGATTCTCTTTTGATAGATAAACAGGCTGGAAATCCTGAATTTATTGGCCAGGGAATTCCTTTGGATGAGACAGCATTTGTAGTAAGTATGCATCTGAATGACAGGGTTTACAATCTAATAGGAATGGTTTTTGTTAAGTGTTGGTTAATGTGTTTACTGAAGTGGCAAGTGCTGCAAAATTTTCATTACATTGTTCTGCCAATTAATCTCAATTGAAACTTCTTCTTGTGTTCCTTTTTTTCAGATGGAAGTGAACTTTATTCAAAATTGTGGGGTGTTTTTGCAATAGTCACAAGTATGTAAAGTTTGAAAGTTGTGAAGGAACTTGAAGTTTCTGAGCATGTGCTCGGAAACATAAAAAGATACAGGTCTGGTATCCAGGATGTTGTACAGTAATGCACTGAGCTATTTAGCAGTAGTCCATGCTGGGTGTTTTATCTGAAAAGGAATTTTAATTAATTTATTTTCCTGATTTTGTCTGATGTTTGGAAAATAAGGTTAATTTGATGTGAAACAACAGAGATATTATAGATGTGAACCAGGTGAAGGGAGATGCTATAGAAGTCCATAACAAGCCCACCAAAGAAACATTTCTCTGCTTGGAGAATGTTTGCATGTAGCTGATCTAGATGTGTTCATGCCAGCAGTTTCAAAACTTGATGTTTCAGATACACAGCTTGCAAGACACCTGGGCTAAAACTCACTCAGCTCTGAGTTCAATGTGGAGAAGCATTCTTGCCTTCAGATCTACATTAGAATAAAAAATAGCCAGGCTTGGTAGGTGACACTTGCACTCTGTATGTAGGATTATTTTTCTAAAATTATTTGCATACTGACAGATTTCCTGTTGTTGGGGAATTATTGGAGAAGGGTATGTCTTCCTGTCTGTAACCGAAACTTCTGCAAGAGAGGTAGTTACAATTGAATATTGAGCAGTTTTGGTTAAACCATGGTGTTCCATGCCATTATTGGGTTCATTTCCCATATTGTGTTCCCATGTCCAGTTCCAAAACTTTTTCATCGGTTCTTTTGTGCTTACAGCCAAGATGCAATACTTTGTGCCTGCTCTAGCACACACACACACAGGCTTTGGGATAGAACAAACACGACTGCAGTAATTTGAGCACTCCTTTGACAGCCGGCGCCTCGGCGGGCCAGCGTTGTTCAGAACACTTACATGTGCTCTTATACCTTTCCCCACGCTTCTATGAAGGTTAACCAATTAATTTCTGATGGTGCCCCGGTGGGTAGGTAAGAGAAGGACGGGGAGGACGGCTCAGCGCCCTGCCGGCGGGCTGTGGGTGGGTGCGGGTGCCCTCGGCAGCCGTGTCCCCGCTCTCTGCCGTCCTTGCCCCGCCGGCGGCCGGGGCGCGGAGCGGAGCCCGACGCCTCCCTCGAGGGGGCGGCGCTGCGGGCGGCGGTGGCCCCGGGGCGGGCGGCGAGCCGAGGCAAGGGGCGAGCCCGGCAGGACCAAAGTTGCTTGCCCCGGTGTCTCCGCGGCCCGGCGGAGCGGCAGAGCCGCTGCCCGCGGCGGCGGAATGAGGGAGCAGCGCCCGTGTCCGGGCACCGGCCGGCGGAGGATGGGCGCGCTGCCGCTCCCCGTGAGCCCCGTGAAACGCTTGCCGGCTGAGCGCGCCTTTCCCTGTCTTTTCGCAGAGGAGGCCTACCAAAAACTGGCTAGCGAGACCATGGAGGAGCTGGACTGGTGCCTGGACCAGCTGGAGACCCTGCAGACCAGGCACTCCGTCAGCGAAATGGCCTCGAACAAGGTAGGAGCCCGCGGGCTCGGCCCCGCCGCCCCGCTGCCCCTGCGCGGGCCGGGGGTCGCGGCAGCCGGGGCTGCGCGGGGTCAGCGGCGGCCGGAGGGGCCGCGGAGCTGGAACGGCCCCGGGCGCAGAAACTTGACATGGGCAAGCAGTGGCCAAACGCAGGTTTGGGAGCGGGGGCGGTTTCTGTTGTGGTTTTATACACCATTCTTTTTAATTTCAGTGCAAGTTGTGGAAGTGGTGCAGGTCTTGTAAAGCTACACTGGTTTCTTGTGTGTGCCAGTTTAAAAACATAAAGAGATTGCTCAGGGCTGCTGGCAATTATCTCTTCAGTTGCTCCTTCTTTTCACAGAACCCCATACAGAATTAGGGATCTTTCCTAGAAACGGTGTAGAAAGTAGCATGAAAGGTGATAAAGATAGTTCTTGAGCCCAGAGGAGCTGTATGGTGAATTCTATTTGTAAACAATGATGATGACAGCTCTCAGAGCGCTATTTGTTATGAAAGAACACGCTCTCAACCAAAGTGCCATCACAATAGACACCTACATCCAGAGGTGTGCTTCTGCAACAGAGTGCGCACTCCCTTCGCATCCTGGAAGCTGAGGATTTGCATTATCTGGGAACTCTGCCGGGATCTGCTATGGTCTGTATGTGCTTTGGTTTTGCAATTTGAAAATAAGTCCACATCCTTCATTTATAAGTAAACTTTCTTTCCTGATTTTGATTTGCAGGGAATATGCAAGTACATTTCTGGAGTTAGTTTTTTGAAGGTGAATTAATAAAAGTGCTGTGTTACTTCAAAATTTATTGTTATATTTTTCATCAACTGAGTACTTGAACAGCAGCTTGTACAAATAGAAATGAGAAGAAAGCTTTACTTAAACAGGCTAATTTTCCTGCTCTTATGTCTGCAAAAGCAGATGATGATATTTTAGTATCTTTTAACCATTTCAGTTGTAATTCATATTTTAATTTGGAAAATAGTTGTTTTGACTCAGCTTATGCCTTCTTAATACTCTACTGTCTTGTTTTGACTGCTCTTACGAAGTATCTGCTCTTTCTTATTAACTGTTTTTCAGTTCCTGTTGAAGTGTGCCTGCAGATATAAAGTATTATTACACTTGTGCAGTTTAATCCCATGATGTGGTATTCCCTGTGCTTTTCTTGGTGTTAGAGAATCCCAGCACCAATTCGATCTCTGTTTTAAGAGTTACCTGCCTGGCATTATGCTATTCTCAGAACCGCATTTTCAGTTTTTATTGCAGCTGAAAGATCTTTTTACTCAGTTCCTATTGTATGTGCATCGGTAAGTTACAAAGTCAAGGGTTTACAAGGTTGTTTCAGCACTATAAGAATCTGAGACTTTGTTTCCAAAGGGAGTGAGATCAGACCGACCCATGCAACCTGGTCTTTCCTTGCTAACAAGTTTGGACACCTGTCGATTTCCTGAATTGTGATCTCTGTATGACCATTCTTTCACAAAATGCAGCATTTTCTTCAAGTATTTATTTCTTAACTCCCTATAATAGATAAGATATACAATATATTTGATGAAGAGTGAGGTAAGCTGTTTCTAGAATGAAGTAAAATTAATTGCAAATCAATGTTTTCAAAGTTTTACCAAGTATATTCAATTTTTTACAAAACGAGGACATTTTAAAAATAAAATTTGACAAATGATTTGTATCGATAAGTAGACTCAGAGGTGCTACTGAGTTTGATACTATGTTTTGTTTGTATTTGTTTGAATAAGTAAGCATTTTCGCTCTTATTTTGGAAATCTAACATCTTGTATAGAAATTTGTGTCATCTTTCAGTGTTCATTTGGGAGGTTTTTGTTTCGGTTGATAAGATATTTTTAAAAAACCAAAAAAAAACCACAAAAAAAACCAACAACAACAAAGAGTAAATCTGTGCCACTAACCAGCACGTGAACAATCTTGAATGTGAACCAGCAAGACTGTACAATAGTGTGAGAAAAATTAATGCGGGAGGATTTTCATTTCAGGGGTACAGCAGGTTGTACTAAAGAATAATTTCAATTCTGATTACTGAAACATACCCAGCATTTATACAATACCTCCTATTGTAATATAACTGCAAACTTTGACCTCTCAGTGAGGCATATAGGTAAATTACACTATTTTAGTCTATTGAGAAACTGAAGTAGAAAAGCTTTGCTCAAGGCTGAGAACATAGACTTCTGTACAGAATGAACATGCAAGAGTCCTCTGTTCTCTATCTAAAGAGTAGGTCCTGTAAAATCAGATTAGAAAGTCAAGAAAAATAATGTTGACAGTACAGAAGAACATAGTTTCTCACTGTATTTATCTCTTTCCTTTTGTCTGGGTTTCTCGAAGAACCAACCCACAAGACTGACTGATTGTTGGTCTGTTTTCCCCTGGACTTTCAGCTATTTCCTTTACTTATTTCTCTCCACTTTATTTTGTATGCAACAGCATTCTCATAAGTATTAGTTTTCCTTATTTATGTGAACACATGCAGGATATAAGGGTTGGCATAAGAATTGAACTCTGTGCTAGGAAGGAACTTTTGCCCATTGTGGAAAGGCTGCTGAAGTAGAGGAAAGAAACAGTGTTGGAGCGGTATTTCATGTCCTGAATGCTTAGAGTAATCCAGAGAGTGAGTCTTACCTCCAGTCCCTCTCTGTGCAGTGAGTAGACAGTCTGAACTGTTGGCTTCATCTGTTTGGAATCCCTTTACTGTTGTAATGCTTGTGTAGGACAAGCATTAGTATATCTCAGTCTAGGGATTTTTTTAGATGCCCCTCATGCTCAATTAGCAGTAGTCTATGGTATGCCAGCTCGGCTTTGGATGACAAAAAGTGGACTGACATAGATACAGAAGAAGATCCTTCTTCTCCATGTTTAAAATTGATTAAAACTGTAGTGACAGGGCGCTATCCACAACCTCTGCCCTGGCATGTTGTGGGACTAACTGTTACTCAAAAACTTTGAAAACAGACTGTAGAGCTTTTCTGTAGGAAGCCTGCTGTGCTATTTGGCTGCCTACATTACCTCAGTATGACTGTAATATCCAGAAGATTTCCCATTTCCCAGCCATCCCCATGATACAAAGATTTCCAAATGCCTGCAGCCATTGCATGTGAAATAACTGATGGATAGGTCTCCGGTGGACCCATAGGCAGAATTTGTAAATCAATGTGATTTTGAGAGGACATATTATGTAGTTGTATTGTCACTTGTCACTGTGTTGTTATGAATCTTACAGTACTTGGTGTTTACTTACATTGCTAGCTTCTGAAACTGGGTACTAGCAAGAGAAAACCAGCTTTTTAAAAGTGCAGGAAGTTTGTCACCTTAGTTCTCCTCTAGAACCTCTTTGAAGTTTTGAAAGGCTCCAAACCAAACATATAAGAAGCCCTTTAAATTTGGAAAATTGACTAAAATGTCTTTCATTTTTGGAGAATTGTTTCTGGTTTTCTGTATCATGGACTCTTAATATTGCCTAATGCCAGTGGACTGTAGTATTGCTGTGTTTTTCTGAGTAATGCTTTCTTGAACAGATAAAAAATAATTTCAGGAAATAGTTTACAAATCTGGGTCATTAAAGATAGGATCCCAAGGAATAATTAGATGCCACTATATAACTATTCAGATTTCCATAGATCCTAACTCATATCACTTTTTGCTAAACTGAATTGTGAGCAATATCTCCTGAAATTATAGGGTTTAGAAAGCTACCAGCTTGTTGATCGTTATTTCTAACTTTAGATGCTGCAGCACTTTGATACACATATACAAGAAAATGGTATTTTAAAATTTCCAAGTGATGATTTTTTGGTTCTTTGTCTTTTTAACAGCTTTTTTAATGAATAGCACCCTGATCTTTTTTTTTTTTTTTCTGTTAAATAAGATTAAAGAAAAATTTAATAGAATTTAAATTTATTTAAATATGAGAAAAACCGTCTTCTCTCAGTATGCAGTTTAGCACTACTTAGTTTATAGATCCGAGAGTTATTCTGTGATTGACAATACACAAATTAAAAATTCCAGTAATAAGGATGTAGCAACTGCTCTCTATTAGGTAGCATTATCTGTAGATTAGTCAAACATGGAGGAGTATGTATAATCAAACTTGTTTGCAAAAGTGTGTTTTCACTTCTGTAATCGTGATTTTGCAAGCATCTCTTGTTTGGTGCACTTAAGTGTCTAAGTATCTGAACTTAGACATGTGAAAAGTTTCAAACTGAGTCGTTTTTGTTTCAGCTTTAGCCCTCCTGCAGATGATGTTTTTTGCAGGATTTGCTAATAACTAATAAAGAGCAAGAGTTTAGAAGATGTCTTTATAGTCTACTTCTTTCCCACTGCAAATGCAAGTGAATACCCTTCTCCAGGAATCTCTATCAGGTATCAGAGCCGATAAAATTCTGATTTCGTTTAGTCAGACCACGCTAACTACAAATCTACTTTTTAAGTATAGGTTTTCTTATCATGATTCAGCCTTGTATACCAGTATGATTACAGATTAGAGTAGTATTTACAGGCACTTACTAGTGCTGTTTGTTTTTTTTTTTTTTAATTTTGAGATTTTTTTGATGACTTGAAAATACCCAAAGCATCAATTTTATCAACCAAGTAACGTCCAAAGCCTACCCTGATGTAACAAAGGGCTTTACAGTCCTTTATAGTCCTGTACTTGTCACCCACTATGTACATTCAAACAATAATATTAATGATACCTTTTAAAAAATGATTACTTATCTGTGAATATTTAATGTAAACTAAAATGATATTTGAAGGCAACTTGAAATCATCTGCTCAGTTACTTTTGTTGTTTTTTTTTTACATTTCCTCCTCTACTAATTTGAGCGGGTTTGTAATCACATCTTCTTGCTGTTAAAAAGTATTTTTCCTTTCATCTTTTCAACACTAAAAAGCTCACACAGGTAATGGGGAGCTGACTAACATAATATCTGGGGAAAGAAAGAGGCTGAATTTGTTACTTAGGTCAAATAAT